GGATAATTGAGGAAACCAGTAGTTAATTTAGACTGTAATTTAGTCGATAGTTTGGCTGATACTTGAGGACCTTTTAATATAAGGAGGCCATTTAAAATAAATGACTATTGGAAACAAAAACTTTTGGTGAAACTTCTAAGTGTGAGGGTTTTTTTCCTCTTTTGTTTTAAATTGATAATTTAGTGAAAGTTTACAGAAAAGTGTTTTCATTCATTCATTCATTGATACACAGTTTCCTCCCCACTCCTTCCCATCTAGTGTGAGTTTTGTGTGCTTACATTTTTGTATGAGAATATTTTGTCTCTATATTATCTCCTACAGCTTGTGATTCAGTTATATCTGGCTAGGTTTTATTCTGCTTATTTTGTGGAATGTTAATGTATGTGAAATAGAAAGTTTTGGTCCTCAGTTGTATGCTCATTAAAGATCACAGAGGCCACGTGCCACAGTTTTGTTCTTGAAAGGAGAGTTGGGATTGAATGTTATCAGAATATACAAAACAAGAAGGAAACTGAGCACTTTTCCAGATAAGAGATTAGACAAACTAAAAAAAAAAATTCCAGAGTTTAATCAGATTCACCTTGCTTTTATGTATCAAGTCCACAGACTTTCTGTGGAACTCTTGCACATCCCGTTATGATGAAAATAGTTATTTATAACCATTTTATAGTTTACTGTATCACAAATACATAACTTTCAGTCTCAGATCCTAGCCCAGGCAATATTTATTTGACTTCTGAATTTTGCCGTTTGAATTTTGAAGTTTATATAAAAATTAAAAGATCGGCTTGATTCAAACGCTGATTTTATAATTTAGTGAAAAAAGCAGGAATTGGAAAGCAGGTGGTCCACTTGAATGAATAAGGTACTGAGGTCTTGTCAATAAGCTCATACAAACCAGATTCCAGTGGTAGGAGCTTGGAGGCTTTAATGAGGTACCTTACCCCTAGTGTCAGAAAGGACCCCTGGTGGCATCATCTGTAGGGAGACACTTTGTTAATCTGAAGGCCACATCTCTGGAAGTTTGAATCCCTCAGTGGCTATCAAGGAGTGAAATGGGCAATCTTTGGTGCAATTTACGGCCTTGGATCAGCTCTGAGTCAGATCTGACACCACAGCAATGAATTTGAGGGGTTTTGTTTTGTTTGTTTGTATCGGTGATTAAAACTGTGTATACTTTGTCTCTCTGCATTGCATACACATAAAGACTTTTTCTCAAGCTTCCAAATAACCGAAAAGCTGCAAAAAATTAGACACACATACCAGTGGCATCAACTATTATATTGGTGTTTTTTGTTTTTCACACCTTGCTTGCAGAAAGTGAAGAAGAATTGAAGCAATTACTGAGAAGAGCAGCATTTAATATGGGCCACATCTCAATATTACCATTGGACCAGTGACATCATAATAGAGGGAGAAAAAATTTAAGTTAATGATTTCCTTTTCCTTGGATCCACAGTAAACTCTCATGGTAGCAGCACAGTCAAGAAATTAAAAAATGTGTTGTATTGGGGAAATCCACTGTTAAAGAGCTCTTCTGAATTCTTAAGAGCAAGGATATTTGTTTAAAGACTAAGATCCAAGCCATATTATAAATTTTTATGTACTGTTAAGTTAGAACCAACCCATACCTTACCCACCAGTGGATTTTCAGAGGCAGTAAATTACATAGGAGGAGATTGGAGGAACAACTGGTGAGTTCATACATGTGGATTAGCAGTATAGCTCCTTACTCACTAGATCACCAGAGCTTAATCTGAGCCGTGGTAGTCTCAATTGCTTTCTATCCTCTAGAAAAAAAAAAAATTAGACAATGAATAAAAGATGACAGAAGGAGAATCAATGCCTTTGAAGTATATTGTTGGTGAAGAGTATTGAATCTATCTTGAATGAAATGTAATCTGAGTGTTCCTTAGAGGCAAAAAGAATGGTGAAATTTTGTCTTGTTTACTTTGGACATATTTTCAGGAGGAACAAGTTTTTGGAGAAGAGACATCATATTGGGAAAAGTAGAGAATCAGCAAAAGAAGACTGTTGGCAAGATGTATTAACACTGACTGCCACTATGAGCTTAAGCATGATAGAGATCATGAGTAGGGCACAGTTCAGATCTGTTGTTCATGGGATTATTGTGTGTCCTAGTTTACTTGATGCACCCAGCACTACAATCTTCAATATGGATTGAAGCTTCAAATCAAGAAAACAAAAGTTATCTGTTCACTATGGATGATCCTTCTGGTATTTGACATACTAATGAGATATTTTCCAGCTCACAGCAATACACAAGAAAATTAAAACAAGGCCACGAGAACCAAAATATGAATTAGTCTATCCCAGGTGAATTTTAAAGCCATCTCAGGAATAGATTTTATGCATTGAATACTAATGATTGAAGATTAGAAGACTTGTGAGATGGCATTAAGGACATCATCCAAGAAGAAGGTAGAAATGCTCATTATAGAGAAGAAAGAAACAGATTGAAATGGATGTGGGAAAATACTCTGGAAAGGAGTTCACCAAAACAAGGTGAAGGAGCTGAAGTAGGAGAGGACAGAAAATTTTCAAAAGACAGCTCAAGAAGACAGTGCAAAGTATTATAACAAGGTGCAAAGAGCTAAAGGTAGAAAATCAAAAGGGAAGAACACATTCAGCATTTCTCTGAAAGAACTGAAGAACAAATTCAAGCCTCAAATTGCAATATTTAAGAATTCTTTGGGCGAAATCTTGAATAATGCAGGAAGCATCACAAGAAGAGGAAAAGAATACACAGTTACTGTGCCAAAAAAGGTTGGTCAACACTAAAGAATTTCAGGAAAGTAGCAAGTAGTACTGAAGGGAGAAGTCCAGTCTGCATTAAAATTATCAGGGAAAGAATAAAGCCCCAGAAAATTATTAAATACCAATTTTAAGATATTTCAGGAAAGCTGTGCATATGCCCTGGGTGTGTTCACCTGTCCATGCCATAGAATTACAAAGATAGCTATCTGAATCTGGCCAGTCAGCTAAAAGAGATCCATATTTGTTCCTATTCAGGTGGGGAGGGGTGGGGGAACAGGGGATGGGGGACGGAGATGATTTAGCAGTGTGAAAATTATTGAACAATATTATTTCTATCTTATGAAAGTAAAGTATTGCTGAAAATTATTTAAAAATGACTGGAGCAATGTAATGCCTTGACAAAGAACTGCCAGACATTCAAGCTGGATTCAGAGGTTATTGCAGGAGAAAACTACAACAATGAATGAAGGGAAATCCAAAGTCTCTGTAAACTTTCAGTAAAATTAATAATAATAAAAGGGGGGGGGAGAAGAGGTAATTGCTTGGGTGGTTATTATTGCTCATCTCAAATGGATCTTGACTGGAAGCAGAAAACACCAGAAAGATGTGTACTTTTGTTTTATTGACTAAGCAAAGACATTTGACTGTGTGGATCATAATAAATTATGGCTAACATTGCTAAGAATAGAAATTTCGGAACACTTAATTGTGCTCATAAGAAAACTGTACATCCCCCAAGAAACAGGTGACCCAACAGAACAAGGGAACAATGCATGGTTTAAAATCAGGAAAGGCGTGCATCAGGGTTATATCGTTGCTCTATGCCTATTCAATCTGTATGCTGGACTGTATGAAGAAGAATGTGGCATTATTGAAGGAAGACTTACAAACTATCTGCATTACACAGCTGACACGTACTTGCTTACAAAAAAATAAAAACACTTATGGAAGATCAAAGATTACATCCTTCAATATTTATTATATCTCAAAATCAAGAAGGAAAAAACACTCAACACTGGACCCCAGTAGGCATCAATCATCATCATGATAGATGAAGAAAAGACAGGAGTTGTCACCTATTGAATTTTACTTGGATTCACAATTAACACCCATGGTTGCAAGCAGTTAAAATCAAGAGACAAGTTACATTGTGAAAAGCTGTTGTCAAGGACCTCTTTAAAGTGATAAAGAGCACAAGTATGTTAGTTTAAAGATGAAAGTGCTCTTGACCCAAGCCATGGTATTTTCAAAGGCGTTTGACTGTGTGGATCATAACAAACTGTGGCTGACTCTCAGAAGAATGGGAATCCCAGAACACTTGATCGTTCTAATGCAAAACCTATACTTGGACCAAGAGGCAGTCGTCAGAACAGAGCAAGGAAACACTGCATGGTTCAAAATTGGGAAAGGCATACGCCAGGGATGTGTCCTACCTCCATACCTTTTCAACCTGTATGCAGAACAGATTATCCGAGAGGCTGGGCTCTGTGAGGAGAAGTGTGGGGTCAAGATTGGTGGAAGATCTATTAACAATCTGCGTTATGCAGATGACACAACCCTGTTGCTGAAACTGAGGATGCCCTGAAATGCTTGCTGCAGAGGGTCAAGGACTGCAGCCTTCAGTATGGACTGAGGCTCAATGTCAAGAAGACAAAGATTCTCACCCCTGGACCAATTGGCAGCATCAGGATGGATGGTGAAGAGAGTGAGATTGTTAACAACTTTAGTCAGCTTGGCTCCACGGTCATCACTCTTGGCACCAGTAGCCAGGAAATCAAAAAAACTTACTGCGATGGGAAAGTCTGTTGTTAGGGACCTCTCCAAAGTACTGAAGAGCAGTGGTGTCACTCTGGAGACTAAGATGCGTCTGATACAGGTTATTGTCTTTGCAATCACTTGTTATGCATCAGAGAGTTGGACAATGACTAGGGAGGATAGAAGGAGAATTGATGCCTTTGAGCTGTGGTGCTCAAGAAGAGTATTGAATGTACCCTGGACTGCCAAGAAAACCAACAGATTTATCCTAGAGAGGGTTAAACCAGGCTGCTCCTTAGAGGCAAGGATTCTGAGGCTTCGTTTGACATACTTTGGACATGTTATAAGGAGAGACAGGTCCTTAGAGAGAGACATCATGCTTGGGAGGGTGGAGGGACGGTGCAGAAGGGGAAGACCCTCTGTGAGGTGGATTGATTCAGTGACTGGGGTAATCTGGATGGGTTTGTCAGGCAGTGAGATCGGCACAGGATAGAGCAGGGTTTAGGGCTGTTGTACATAGGGTCGCTATGAGTCGCAGGTGACTCAGTGGCACATAACAACATAACAACTATGCGCCTGAAAATTGAACAGTGAATAAGGAATGCAAAAAAAAAAAAAAAAGAATCAATGCCTTTGAGTTGTGGTGTTGGAGAAAAGTACTGAGTATCAAATGGACTGTCAAAAGAACATCTTGGAAAAAGTGAAATGATTGTGCTTCTAAGTGGCAAGCATACAGACTTTTTAGCAACCTGACACGTTATGCACTCACTGTACCATCACTGATCACATATTCCTTGTATACCCATCGCTTTCAGGTTGATTTTGACTCATTGTGATTCTCCATTAGGCTTTTGAGCTTGTAAATTTTTATGAGAAAAGCCTGCCTTTATTCCTCCAGCAATGGTTGGTGGATTCAAACCACTTTTTAAACCTCTTCACAATACCTTGCATCACCAGATTTCATTATTATTTATAAAACACACTGCGGTTGAGTTGAACTAACTCATAGCTGATCCTGCAGAGGATTTCCTAGGCCATAAATCAAATGAGAGGAGATTATGTTACTCTTTATAAAGTCTCCTCTAAATTGGAATTGCTTGTAAATTGGAAGTGTAATTGTTTTAGATTACGTGGTAAGATACTTAGGTTATACCATTGTAATAATTGCCTCTGGATTCTTTATATACAATTTTTTGTCCTTCTGTGTTAACCTAAACATTATGGGTAGAGAAATGTTTCTGATGCCCAAGTCTTTCTACTTTCTTTCTCAATTTTCAGAACAAACCTAAACCTAGTTTTGTCATCCAGGGCTCCTGGGCAGTTGACATCAAGTCATTGAGTATTTTGTTGAGTCAGACTAGACTATTGGTTATATGAAAAATAATCAGTACTTCCATGCCTTGCTCATTTTTAGGCTGTTTCTTTTGCCCTACTCAAATGTTTTTGGGTTGTTTTTATTTTCTGTAAATAAGTCTTTTCTTTTTCTCCCTCGTCTCTATTTACATTATACCTTGTTTGCAACTTCAGTGTAACCTTTGATAAATAAACAGCTGCCCTTGAGAATATGGATCGTCATGTTCACAGGTCTCTCTGTGGGTAACAGTTTTTAACTTATGATAGATATTTAATATTTGTTCCCTCTAAAGGGGAGGGGTAGATGTGTCAGAGACAGTAAAGTTGACACAGGATAGAGCAGAGTTTAGGGCTCTTGTACATAGTGTTACTGTGAGTCGCAAACGGCTCAATGGCACATAACAACAGTGGTTCCTATGTTTATATAAAGGCACTTTGGGAACACAGGAGTGGTTGAGGATATGTTAACATGTATAATTTCCTTGTTTTTTAGTTGGTTTATGTCAGATTTTAAAAATCACAACCCAAAATAACATGAAGGGTTACCTTAAAGAAAATAGTCTTTCCTAAGAACAAATATTCAGAAGGGTGCATGGCTAGAGGAAAGATCTGAATTGAGTGATAATTTAGATTCATATATTGTTTCTTTAAATATAGTTACTATGGTTTGAATATGTATTTTCCTTTTTCATTTTGTAAATTCTAAGAGCTTAACATTTTTTAAAATAATTTCAATTGCATTTTTTCTTAGCCTTAGTTTCTAATACTTTTTCTTCTAGGAATATGAAAAAAATCTTATGATGAACACATTGTATAAGCTTCATGATCGATTGGCACAACTTGCAGGTAATTGTTTTAATATTTTTAGTTTAACATTTCTAAATATCTTTTGAAAATCAATTTGAATATATAGGGTGCTCTGACTATAGAAATAATTTTTCCTAAGTCCGTTGTATAAGTTTTTATTACTTAAATGGTATGTTAGTTTGAAATATATATATATATATATATATATATATATATATATATATTTATTTTTTTTTTTAAATCTAGGCCTTTCCTTTCTGTCTTATATATGTAATTTCTACACACACAGTGTATAACCTGAAAAGCCAATCAAAATTTTTTGGCTGCATTAATGACATAAAATTTTGAGAGCTTAAATATCAGTTGAATTGGATAGGTAATGCATGAACTCAGTCCTGGAATAAATATATCTATTTTATTTAGTATGTATTTTCTGGTGGTTGTATATTTGTCATCTCTAGATAAAGCAAACATACTCTTCTACAGTTCCCCGCCACCCCTTTCCTTTCCCTTATATTTTGCTTTTAGTTAAGACTGTTCTTTTTTTTTTTTTTTTAATTTATTTTATTATTTTTGTGTGTGTGAGTGTACCGTCAAATCAGATCTGACTGGTACAGGAGGAGATTGTTCCTCCTTCCCCGGCAGAGCATCTGGTGGATTCGAACCGTGCGCCTCTGGGATTGTAGTTGCAGCTCCTTACCACTAGGCCACCAGAGCTCCCCTAAGACTGTTCTTGAGAGCTCTCAGATCTCAACATTTCTGTAATTAGAATAATTTTTTATGAGTATATTGGGACCAACTGTAACATCTCTAAGTCGTAACAGATGCAAATGTTTTACTTTCTAATTCTGGGGAGATTATTTTTAGGTCATTTATTGCTTGTAATAAAATATTTTAAATTCCTTTCTTATAGTCACTTATAACACATGAAAAAACACAGTTTTCTGAATTTTTGTACACCACAGATTCCTTTGTAGAAACCAGATTCAGATTATAGGTAGAAATCTAATAGGAAAAAATTGAACTTGTTGAATTGGGACGGTTAGTATCCTGACAGTTTTCTACCTATTCTTTCACCAATATTTTTATTTCTTTTTGATGGGAAGGTCCTTAATTCCAGTCAGTTTTTTAGGTTTCTGATTCTGTATATGTTTTTAAAATTGCTTTTTGTACTGATTTTGAATCCTGTGACATAATGTGTAATGTCTTAGGCTGTTATCCAAAATATTGACCTTTTAAATCTGCTCCCTGAGAGAAAATTGACAGTTTCTTAAAGATTAACAGCCTTGGGAACCCAGTTAGAGGGTTTATGTGAGCCCAAGCCAACTTGATAGTGGGTTTATTTGGTTTATATGGATTGGACAGTCATTTTCATATGTTTCAAGATAATGGCATTTCTTTGGTATGCTGTACTACCTTAAACTGAAAGTATCTGCTGTAGCTAGCAAGTCTGATGCTGTGACTTGTAAAACGTGGTCCAGGGCTCCATGTTTTGGGGGAACTTTTATATATATATAGAATTCTTCTAAAGAAGGGATTTACTATACTTTTCTGTAAAGATACAGATAATCTTAGACCTTGTAGGTAAAATTGTCTCTGTCATGACTGACTCTCCCATTAGGGTAGTTAAGCAACCATAGAGCATAGTTTTGTTATTCCAGTAAAATTTCTATAAAAACTAGAGGCAGATCAAATTTAGCCATGGGCTGAAATTTGCCCAGATCTCTTCTGGATATATGGAATCTAAATCCCTCAGAGTGCACATAATAAAATTTAAAGACTTGTTCACCTATTTAGGTGTGGTTTCCTTTTATAACTACAACCATTAAAAATCTACTTAAAACTGATAAGAAGATAGTTTTTAATAGAAGAATTTGCCAGATATTTTAACAAGTATTTTCATGATAAAAGATTTTATAAACTGCTTAACAAAAATGTCTAGAAAATGTCTCTCTACTAAATTACATATAGAGAGGCGCTCTGGTGACCTAGTGATAAGGAGCTGCACTGGGCAAGGGCAGTTGCCCTGCAGCCCAAGGGCAAGCAATTTGAATCCCATCAGCTTCTGTGAGAGAGAAAGATGGGCGGCCTCTTCTCTTGTAGTTAACTGCCTCTGAAAACCCTCTGGAGTGTAACTATGAATTGGTTCTGACTTAGTGATACATAACAACATGTAATCAGAAGGGAGCTCTAGTGGCATATTGCACTGCTGACTGAAAGTTCAGTATGTGACTCTACCATCTGCTCCATGAGAGAAAGATGAGCAACCTCCTCCTGTGAAGTTTTACAGCCTTGGAAAACCAGTGAAGGGTCATTATGTAATTGGAATCTACTGACAGCAGTAAATCAATAAAAAAAGACAATAATATACGATGTGTGTTATATTCAAGTCAGGGAAGGAACAATGTCATATTGATGCAGTCCTTCTTGGAACTAGTCCACAGAGAGTTAAGGGTTATTTTTGAAATTCATGATGTTAACAAAGCAGCTATGGATTCAAATCTCATTTGAAGAGCAACTCTTCTACCACTAGATCACCAGAACGCCCTATATAAAATGTAGTTGTATAATTTGTAAAATATTTTTAATTATCACATTGAGTTTTTTCTGCTTTATATAATAATGATTCAAAACTAATGATATGTTAACTCTTTCCAGGAGATCATGAATGTGGCAGTTCTAGTCAGAGAACACTTTCTGTCCAAGAGGCTGCTGCATATTTAAAAGTAAGCAGTGAAATTAGAGTTTTAATAGTTATATTCTTCAAGTTTATATAAATCATTATAACTTATGTCCAAAGTATCATACAATGAATCACTTTAATTGTATTGTTAAAACTTGGGCCTATTATTAGTGTTTGTATATAGATAGGGAAAACAAAACTGTTCACTACGTTTTGTTTTAGAACATTCTCTATGAGAGAATATGTATTAGTATAGAAAGGGTACAAGTAATATTGATAAGAGTACCAGTTGAGAAAGTTGAATAGCTTGTAAGAAGACAAGTAAGCATCTAACTTATGTCATTTATTATTATGCCATTAATTTTAACTCCAGATACTAAGAGACTATGCTGATGCATTTGCTAAACTATTGTTTAAGTAATCTTTGGGAAACTGGATAGCAATAAAATACAGTGGAAAGTTAAACATGAACAAGTTTTGTTCTGACTTTAAAACGGGAAATGTAGATTTTTGAAAACCGTAATAGAGAGCTTTATTTCAATCTAACTATGATAATTTCATAAAGATACGAGTATTTAACAAATACAAATGAAATTGGCATGGGTTCATTGTCATATGTGCCATGTAGTACAAACTTCATATTCCCTTCCCTCCCTCTTAAATTAGGAGTATGGTATTTGTTCTAAGGCTTTTTGCAAGATTTTGGTGACAGTATCTCACGATAGACTTTCTAAAAAGGAAAATGGATTGAATTTTTAACTTATTTTTTATTCACAAGATGGTATGACAAAATAATGTAGAAAATAGGCCTGAATTAAAATTCTGTCATTGCTGCATAGTATCTTGGTAAATTCCTTGACCTTTCTGAATATGCTACTCTATTTGAAAGTAGATTAAAGTTTTTGGGAGATTTAAGGGAGTTCTTAGCTAGTGCCTAGGTAAACCACAAGATTATTACTGTTATTAGATGGCATCCAGTTGATTGCAACAAGAAGTCCCCTCATGTGACAGAGTAGAACTGCCCCATAGTCTTTTCTACACTCTGATCTTTTACTACAGATGATTGTCTATGTGTCTTCCATGAAGCCTTTCCCAGTCAATTTTGTTTATCTGTCTCTAGCCTTTCCTAATTAATTAAATCAGCATCACTCTTCTAGAGATCTCTGATGAGATGCTATAGAGTTTGTCAGTAATTTTGCTTGCTTCATTTTAAATTTTAACGTAAATGACAACATATTGATGCAGCCGTATGTGTGGATAATCTAGCTAGATTGGATAGCAAAAAAGATCAGGATCCAAGTGATCATGATCAAGAAGGGATTATATTCAGAGCACACAACGTTAATAGTAAGAATTACTAGATGGAGTATGGAGATGAGGGGAAAAAAGATGGATTGGATTGAAGAAGCAAAAGTGGGCATATGATAAAACATAGGAAAGGGTGCAAGCTAAAAGATAGTATTTTGGAGTTTTACTGGTATGTGTGTTCTTGTTGTTGTGTACCATCCAGTCGAAACCGATGTATAGCTGACCCTCCAGTGAGTTTTCAATGGCTGTTAATCACACAAGGGGCAATTGCCCATCTTTCTCCCACAGAGAAGCTGGTGGATTCAAACCATGTACCTTTAGGATTGCACTGCAGTTCAGCTACATTTCATAGTAATTCGGAGACTTAAAAAAACAAACTACTGATATTTGAAGGACTTGTTAAGTGCCGTCGAGTTGCAGGCGACTCATAGCAACCCTATGAAGGAGAGTCCTCGATGCTTGGGTGCCTTTCATCTTCTCTCCAGGTTCGTAGGGTTTCTGGAGGCAAGCTATTATGGAAGTGGATGCCACTCCTCGAAGGACTAGAGAGATGAAAATAGGTATTGAGAGAAAAATAGGATCTGAGCAGTGGTAAGCTTGAGTGGAGTAAGAGGCAGAGATTGTTATGGATTACAGTCTAGAAAAGCCTGTGGAACAATTTTATTCCATCACAAGAGGTGGTTTTGAGTTGCAGTCAACTGGCACCTAACAGCAATTATCAGACACTGGCCAGGTATTCCCTTAAGTTTCCTAAACCTTTAACAAACGTTAATACCATTCCACTTTTGACCTAGTGGCAAGAAGCTTTGTTACAATCCCAAAGGCATGCAGTTCAAATCTACCAGCTGCTCCACAGGAGAAGAATGGGCATACTCCTTCCATGCATAAGTGCCTCTGAAAACCTGCCGGAGGTTCCAATATGGGTTGGTTCCAATTTGATGGTACACAACAGCAACATTTAAAAATATCAGTAGTTTTATGGGGTTTTTTAAGTCTTAGAATTACACTAAAAGGTAGCTGAACTCTGTGAAGAATAGGGCCTCAGTATCAGAGGAAGACTCGTCAACAACCTGCATTATACAGATGACACAACATTGCTTGCTGAAAGTGAGGAAGACTTGAAGCACATGCTGCAAAAGATCAAAGACTACAGCCTTCAATATGGATGGGTTACATTTCAATGTCAATAAAACAAAAATTCTCATTACTGGCTATGTGCTGAGTCAGAATTGACCCATAGCTGACCCTCCAACAGGTTTTAAGAATCAGTAAATTGCATAGTAGGAGAGATTGCCCATCCTACTCCTTTGAGAAGCTGCTGCTGGATTTGAACCATGTGTCTTGAGATTACAGTGCAGCTTCTTAACACTAGGCCACCAGAGAGCTTTGGATAGGTAAGTGGAGAAAAGATTGAAATTGTCAATGACTTCATCTTTTGGATCCACAGTCAATACTCTTGCTACCAGCAGTTAGGAGAGCAGGAGACATACTGCATTGGGAAGTCTGCAGTCAGGGATCTCTCTAAATTACTGGAGAGCAAAACTTCATCTTGAAGATTAAAGTGTGCCTGATTCAGGCCATGTTTTTTTCCCAATCACTTGCAGTGCTCTGAATGCTAGACAATGAATAAGGATGACAGAAGAATTGATGCCTTTGAGCTGTGGTGTTGGAGGTGACTGACTTATCTGACTATCCTTTGGACTGCCAAAAGAACAGACAGATAATTCTTGGAGAAGCTGCAGCCAGAATTCTCCTTTGGAGGCAAAAGATAACAGCTTCATCTCACATACTTTGGTCATATACTAGGAGAGGCTGTTTTTTTGAGAAAGGTGAAGAGTTGCCAAAAGAGAAGACCCTCAATCAGATGGGTTGACATAGTGACTGCAGCAGTGGGCTCATGTATGCCAGTCATGATGACAGTGGAACAGGATTAAGACAGGGTTCTTTCTGTTCATAGGGTTGCTGTGATGAATTGTACTCGAGTAGGTAACATCTAACAACAACTTTTAGATGGAAAACAAATTTAAGAAGGTTAAGATATTTTAGTAAGAGACAGAGTTTCTTATGTAGCAGTGATGGAATAGGAATTTAGATCTAATTTGATGAGGTAGGAGAAAAGAACTCAGGTTTGTCACAAATTGGATTTAAGCCAGGAATGTCAGTAGGCTGTAAGAGATTAATTCTACTAAAGATTAGCAGTGAAGGAGTTAATTTACTTGAAACACCCATGCATAGCCTTTCTTTTATATAATAATTAGTGTACACATGAATTGAGCTCGCAGCTGCCTAAACGTACTTCAAACAATATTTAAAGGGCTTCCGTATATTTTCCTTAGAATTATATTTTGGATTTGGATTGGGTTTTGCTTTTTGTTGTTGTTAACCAAATGTTTTGGTATATTTTTATAAAATATTCTAGAATAAATTGTATTCCATAGAATACTTAGAAGTATTAATACCTTTCTTATATAGTTAAATTTATGTTGATTTGTGTTCATTTGTGTGTGTTAGTCTTTCATTTTAGAGTCTAATTTTCAGATTTTGAAACATTGTAAAACCTGCTCTATGAGTTGCCATTACCTTAACTGTAATTTCAACAGCCTCCTGGTCCAGGTATAGGTTCTGCATGAGCACAATTAAGTCCTCTGGGACTACTATTCTTCTCAATGTCAGCCACAATTTGTTATGATCCATGCAGTCCAGTACATTTACATAGTAAATAAACAGACATTCTCTGGTATTCTTTACTTTGCGCCAGGATCTGACATCAGCAATGATGTCCCTGGTGCCATGGCCTCTTCTATATCCTGCTTAAACTTCTGGCAGTTCCCTATCTATGTACTGTTCCAGCTGTTTTTGAATAATCTTCAGCCATCTTTTGCTTGCACGTGATATTATAGTCCTCAAACTAACATCATGTCAGTTTGAGAACTAAGGTAAGGTGTGTCTGATTCAGGCCATAGTCTTTCTGATGACTTGCTATGTATCCGAGAGTTGGATAGTGAATAAGGATAACAAAAAAACAATTGATGTCTTTGAGCTGTGGTTTTGGAGAAGAGCACTAAACACCCCATGGACAGGAAACAAGAAAGCAAACAGATATGAGTTGGAGAGGGTGCATCCAGACTGCTCTTTGGAGGCAGCAATGATGGGGCTTCACTTCACATACTTTGGACATGTTGCTAGGAGGGGTTATTACTTGGAGAAGGACAAGGATTCTGGGAAGGGTAAAGGTCAGTAAAGGAGAGGAAGACCTTCAGCCAGGTGATGGACAAAGTTACTGCCACAGTTGCCTCTTGTGTATCAGGAAGTGTGAGGATGGCACAGGATAGAACTGAGTTCAGATCTTTTGTTGACTTGTACTCGATGACACCTAACAACAACAAGATAAATATAGATTAAACTGTCAAGGCTTGTATCAGACATTGTTGATAATGTGTATGTTACAGGCTTTTCTTGCTTACAGAGAGAGTAGTAGTCTATTTATTTGTACATGGTTTCAGATTAAATGCTCCACAGAATGTGTCAAGCTCTGGCAGATGTAAGGTATTTTCCCCAACTTCTAACACATCTGGAAACCAATGTGAACTCACTGCTTTTGAGTTGATTGTGACATTTACAGGATAGAATTGTCCCATTGAGTTTCCAAGGCTATACAGTCTTTGTAAATGTAGACTGTCATAGATAGCATTCTCCTGTAAGGACTGCTGATGGGTTCTAACCACTGACCTTTGGCTTAGGAGTTTAACACTTTAACCAGTGAACTACACAGGCTCTTTAGCATGCACCAGACCAAAACCAAACCTACAGCAATAGAGTGAATTCTGACTCATAGTAGCCCTTCACTGGGTTTCGGAGGCTAATAAGTCTTCATGGGAGGAGACTGCCCATCTCTGTCCCTCAGAGCTGTTGGTGAGTTCCATCCATTAACTGTTCAATTCATAGCACAGCACATAATGCACTACACCACCAGCCTTATCTTAAACATTCAACTCACACACTGCCTTTGAATTGATTCTGACTTGTTGCAGTCTTCTACTAGATTTCCCAGGCTGTAAATGTCAACAGGAGGCTGCTCATCTTTCTTCTCAGAGCCGCAGATGAGTTCAGATAGTAGGAGATGGGCAACCTTTTGGCTGGTAGCACAATATCCTATAACTAGCCCCCTAGAGCACCGTAAGCAAATGTTTAGAATTTGTTTTCATGCATAAGTCTTTAAATTAATCTCTTATTTTTATTTTTCTTTCTCTTTCAAATTAATTTAAACCTTTTTTCTAAGTCTTACCTTTTCCCCCTTTATTTTATATGCATCTTTGTATTTGAAACTTTAGATTTTTTTAAAGCTCCAGGCTCCCTCTAGTGGGTTATTTAGGAAATGCATAGCATTAGGTTTTTACAGAAACACAAGTGATTTGCATTAAATACGGTGGGCTCATAGTGTGATAATTTTCTAGTGCAGCAATGAGTAATGAATAGTTAAGTTTTTATGTATCTTTCAATATCTTTGTAACTCTTACACAGTGAGTGGTTAAAATTTATGGAAAGAATATAAGCAAATTTGTATACTTAAAAGACTGGCTAGACTTTTATAACCAGATTTACTAATCACTGTTAACAAAAAATAGAAAAATAGGGCTCTGAGCAGTGAAATGAAGTGAAAATATAATGACAATTACAATATAAAACTACCATTTATCTAAGTACTTCTAGAGTTTCCCCTTTTAATTTCAGAATGATTCAGCAAGGTAAATGGTATCAGACCCAGTTTATAGGAGTTCAGAGGGTCATTAGCTTAGCTAGTAAATGATTGAACTGAGAATAGAACCAAACTATTTACTTGCTGTTCTTTCTTATTATTCTGTTCTGCTTACCTTTTAGGTAGGACTGAGTTCATAACTCTGCTGCTGTTGAATAGACAGGGGACTGGTCATAAATGAAGGATTAGCATCTGAGATAGTCAAAGTAGATGCCTCTATAGAGGTGACATATTTTTTTTTTTGTCCCTACTGTGATGGACCTCATGCACTTACTGCAGAGGGTCAAGGACTGCAACCTTCAGTATGGACTGAGGCTCAATGTCAAGAAGACAAAGATTCTCACCACTGGACCAATCGGCAGCATCAGGATGGATGGCGAAGAGATTGAGATTGTTCACAGCTTCAGTTTGCTCGGCTCCACGGTCAACACTCTTGGCACCAGCAGCCAGGAAATAAAAAAACGTATTGCGATGGGAAAGTCTGCGGTTAGGGACCTCTCTAAAGGACTCAAGAGCAACGGTGTCTCTCTGGAGACGAAGGTGTGCCTGATACAGGCCATGGTCTTTGCAATCACTTGTTATGCATCAGAGAGTTGGACAATGACTAGGGAGGACAGAGGGAGAATTGATGCCTTTGAGCTGTGGTGCTGTAGAAGAGTATTGAATGTACCATGGACTGCCAAGAAAACAAACAGATTCATCCTAGAGAGGGTTAAACCAGGCTACTCCTTGGAGGCAAGGATTCTGGGGCTTCACCTGACATACTTTGGACATGTTGTAAGGAGAGACAGGTCTTTACAGAGGGACATCATGCTGGGTAGAGTAGAGGGACAGCGCAGGAGGGGAAGACCCTCTATGAGGTGGATTGATTCAGTCACTGGGGTAATCGGGATGAGTATGTCAGAGGCAACGCGATTGGCACAGGATAGAGCAGGGTTTAGGGCTGTTGTACATAGGGTCGCTATGAGTCGCAAATGACTCGATGGCACATAACAACAACAACAACAACTGTGCTGGAGCCACGATCTGATCCCATGGTGACTGATTGTAACGACCGTGTTTTTATCATTATTCCTAGAGGTTAAGGATCAAGTTCTCAATGAATCGTTTACATTTATACTTAGGATTACATTTATTCCTCTGGTTTTATTTCAATTTATTTTTTTTAATTATTCAAGTCATTAGTTTAATAGTTAAAAGGATTCTATGTAAGGAAATCTGCTCACTTCCTCAGAAAGTGAAATCTAAAGTATTAACCATGCTGTAATTCATTCGCTGGATTCTTGATGGAGTATCTTCAGATACTGTACAGTTGATGATTTTCTCCTCTTGAGGGGGCTTGGATTTAGTTTTCTTTCTCTTTTTTTAAAGTTGCCTTTTCTTCCCAAACACTTTTTGTTCTAAGTGCATTCCAATTATTTTTAAAGTAGCATCTGATGTATAGCATATATTACCTCATAATTACCCACAATATTTATTAACCAGGAAGTTAGAGATCCTATGACCCTGTAAACTCTCTTTTGTATTTCTGTATGTTCTAAAGTAGGTTTTTAATACTTGGTATTTCTTTCTTGTGCTAGTATTTTTATCTCCTCCTTACTAAACTTTTATTCCTTCATTTAATGAGGTTTGTCTTTTAAATGAAAGAGTGTCTTTGTACTTTGAAATGTTATGTATATTGTATTTGGTATGGTAATAAAATACACAATTTAGGCCAGTTATTTTGGAAATAAGTTACGTTAGGAGAAATGATAGGTATGTGGGTGTGTATATACACAATGTGTTACTATGTTGTTGTTGATGTTGTTATGTGCCATTGAGTCGCTTGCGACTCATAGCGACCCTATATACAACTCTGTCCTGTGCCATTCCCACTGTCTCTGACACACCCATCCCGATTACCCCAGTCACTGAATCAATCCACCTCATAGAGGGCCTTCCCCTCCTGCGCTGTCCCTCCACCCTACCAAGCATGATGTCCCTCTCCAAGGACCGGTCCCTCCTTACAACATGTCCAAAGTATGTTAGGCAAAGCCTCAGAATCCTTGCCTCCAAGGAGCCACCCGGTTTAACCCTTTCCGGGATGAATCTGTTTGTTTTCTTAGCAGTCTGTGGTACCCTCAGTACTCTTCTCCAGCACCACAGCACAAAGGCATCAATTCACCTTCTATCCTCCTTAGTCATTGTCCAACTCTCTGACGCATAACAAGTGATAGCAAAGACCACGGCCTGTATCAGATGCACCTTAGTCTCTAGGAGAGATACCGTTACTCTTGAGTACTTTGGAGAGGTCCCTAACAGCAGACTTTCCCATTGCAATATGTCTTTTAATTTCCTGACTACTGGTGCCAAGAGTGTTGACCGTGGAGCCAAGCAAACTAAAGCTGTGAACAATCTCAGTCTCTTCACCATCCATCCTGATTCTGCCAATTGGTCCAGTGGTGAGAATCTTTGTCTTCTTTACAATGAGCCTCAATCCATATTGAAGGCTGCCGTCCTTGACCCTCTGCAGCAAGCACTTCAGGGCATCCTCAGTTTCAGCAACAGGGTTGTGTCATCTGCATATCGCAGATTGTTGATAAATCGTCCACCAATCTTGACCCCACATTTCTCCTAATAGAGCCCAGCCCCCTGGATAATCTGTTCTGTATACAAGTTGAAAAGGTATGGGAGACAGGACACATCTCTGGCGTACGCCCTTCCCAATTTTGAACCATGCAGTCTTGCCCTGCTCTGTTTTGATGACTGCCTCTTGGTTCAAGTATAGGTTTCTCATTACCACGATTAAGTGTTCTGGGATTCCCATTCTTCTGAGAGTCAGCCACAGTTTGTTATGATCCACACATTCAAACGCCTTTGCATAAGCAATGAAACACAGATAGACATTCCTCTGGTATTCCCTGCTCTCAGCTAAGATCCATCTAACATTAGCAACAATATCCCTAGTACCAGGACCCCTTCTAAACCCAGCCTGGACTTCTGGTAGTTCTCTGCTGATGTGCTATTCCAGTCATTTTTGGATAATCTTTTAGGAAGGTTCATGGAAGAATAGAGGGACGGCACATGAGAGGAATACCCCAAATGTAGTAGATGAACACAGTAACTGGAGTAATGAAGGTAGGCATGTCAGAGACAGATTGGCTCAGGATAGAGCGGAGTTCAGAGCTATTGTACATAGAGTCAATATGAAACTCAAAGTCCCATGCAAACTCAATGGCAAATAAGAACACTTATTTACATGACTTTTTTTTTTTTTTTAATTTACCTGACTTTTATTTAATCAGCACAATGCATATCCTAATATGACACTAGTAAGTTACCTTATACCTACCATTCACATTGGAAAATTCACCAAGTACCAAGAAACTATCAAGCTCACAATGTTGGATGAACGCTCTCAAAATTCTGCTTTTCACTTGAAAGCCTGATTTTTATCATTGACAAACTTTCCCCAAATTGGCGAGCTTACTTCATTCGCTTGTCAATAAAATGTCTATAAAAACACCTAATCCAAATAATTATCTTCTTCCATTTAAAAATAGCGTTTCACTAAAAAGTGGCTAACTTACCAGAATACTTATGGTGTTCTGTTTTATAATAGCTTATTTTTATATTTTAAAAAATGGCAAGAATAGTGACTTTTTCCTCTATTTTCTTCTCTGTGGTTTTTTTCTCTATTTTATAATGAGTTTTTGTACATTATGTAATTAAAATGTTAGTATGATCATTACAATAAGGGGAACTGACACAGTGGCTACAGCAGTGGATTTAAACACAGCAGAGATTGTGAAGTTGATACAGGATCAGACAGCAGCATTTTGTTCTCCTGAACACTCTGAAGTCAGAGATTTCTGTACAGTCTCTAACAACAAATAGATGTTTGTACATCATATCAAACTCTTGTTCATTTTTTTCTTTTTTTAAATATGAATTATTCTCTTTTTGTTGTTGTTGTTGTTGTTGTTAGGAATTGGGTCCTGAATATGAAGGCATATTCAACACCTCATTGCAGTGGATTTTAGAAAATGGAAAAGATGCTGGTATAAGGTAAAGAATTTGATTTTTATGTTGATCATTGTGTACTCTTATGTGAGTTTGCTTTTAAGTTCTCTTTTAATTTTTAAATAGGTGTGTTGGATATGACCCTGAGGAAGAATTAGCAAATATAACAGATGTGCAATTTTTACAGTCTACACGACCACAGATGTCTTTCTGGTGTCGTTTTCGACGTGCTCTTATTACTGTAACCCACAGGTTGTTGTTGCTTTGCTTAGGTAAGTAAGATGATTATGAAAGAGATGATACATTGCATTATATTATTTTTGTCTATATTTCACTAAATGCTGAGGTTAAGAATTTATTGATGTAATAATTGCTATGTAATTCATATCCATACGTCTGTACTAAGATGTTACAGATGTTTTTATAATGTTAATATGAAAATATTAACATAGAAAATAGTACCATAAGGTGAAGTAGGAATTAGTAAGTATCTAGAAACCCATTTAAGACAATAAACTGGAAAGGATAAAAATTTAAGCTTATTCTTTAAATAATAAAGTGTAACTTTATGAAACTTATTTTTAAAATATTTACTGGAACTAAGAAATTTATCCTGGGTTTATGTGACAGTTTTGATTAATAATAGGAATTTAGATGATAGTCATTCCTTTTTCTCTATGGTTTTTAAATTAATTCTGTTTTCTTTCTTTTTTTTTTTTTTT